TTGTCAATAAATCATAATAAAAAATGTATACCCGAATAATTATTTTCTTTATACCTCGAACAGAACTTAAAATTAATATTTTTATAATAAGGAACTTCGTTCCTATCCAGTGTCCCACGACACCAAACATCTTTTTTTTATTGCCCTCGTAGGCAAGCGACCTCGTAGTTGCCTACCGCTTAATACTCTCCACAAGCCTCGTTTGAAGAAGGAAATGTCATAGCGCTCGGGAAACACCGTGGAGGGGAGCTCATTCCATAGCCGGATGGTACGTGGCAAAAAGACCTCTGGAAACGCACTGTCGAATTTGTAATTAGTTTTAAAAGTTACCTTTAGAGAACCTTTCAACTGATTAGACAGTAGCTCTTTCGTTTGCTTGCATGCCTTGAGTGTTTAAGATTAAAGTTCATAATGTACTGAAACTAAACTTTTCCAAAAAGGCGTAACAGGGTCCCTATTTTTGACGCTTATTAATTACGCTAGTGTTTAAAAGGCTGCTTGTACAAACGTAGCCTGTGGGTTTATGCCGGGATTCTTGTTCTTTCTGTCCTTTTTAAAAAAATATATAATATGAATAGCGCTCTAATGAATTATTTCGAGAAATCGTGTCTTAGTTTTTTACTTGATTTAAGCTGTATTCCAATATCGTCATCGTGGCCTAACGGATAAGACGTCCGGTGCATTCGTGTTGAGCGATGCACCGGTGTTCGAATCCCGCAGGTGGGTACCAATTTTTCTAATGAAATACGTACTCAACAAATGTTCACGATTGATTTCCACGGTGAAGGAATAATAACATCGTGTAATAAAAATGAAACCCGCAAAATTATAATTTGCGTAATTACTGGTGGTAGGACCTCTTGTGAGTCCGCACGGGTAGGTACCACCACCCTACCTATTTCTGCCGTGAAGCAGTAATGCGTTTCGGTTTGAAGGGTGGGGCAGCCGTTGTAACTATAATTGAGACCTTAGAACTTATATCTCAAGGTGGGTGGCGCATTTACGTTGTAGATGTCTATGGGCTCCAGTAACCACTTAACACCAGGTGGGCTGTGAGCTCGTCCACTCATCTAGGCAATAAAAAAAAAAAAAATATTACTGCGTCGCTATAAACTCATAAATATGCCATATTTTCTGCGCACCGAAAACTGTATCCTAATACACAATTTGCTCTCATAATGGCTCATAGCGCCCCCCATATATTTTAATCTCTATCTATACTTATATAATATAAATGAATTGCTATTCGTTAGTCTCGCTAAAACTCAAGAACAGCTGGACTGATTTGGCTAATTTTGGTCTTGAATTATTTGTGGAAGTCCAGAGAAGGTTTGAAAGGTAGATAAATTTGAAAATGCTCGGAATGTAATAAAAATAACCATTTTGTTTTCCCTTTGATGTGTCCGCCGTCGGACCGATTCCTTTTGTTTGTTTTAAGTTTATTTTATACAAAAGTTTAGGTATTTTATTTATCGATTGAGGCACTACGAAGTCTGCCGGGTCAGCTAGTTATTAATAAAACAAATTTAAGTACAGATAAGTACTTTCTTAGGCAGCGCATCTGCCCCTATTTGACGTCCTAGTTGACGTCCATGGGCAATGGCAACCACTCCAAAAAAACTAGGTTATAACAGCTCCTGTTAGAGGTAATAAAAAAAATTAAAATAACAACATTAAACTCCACTTCAACGATTGAAATGACGGCATCAAATTCTGAAGAAAATATTCAATTATTGAACGATTTTCCAATTGCAGTCTGAACATTTCTTAAGGGGGAAAACGGAAATTCTTGGAAATTCAAAGACTTCACTGGTGATTGCTAATTCTATCTATCTATCTATCTATCAGCCCATGGACGTCCACTGCTGGACATAGGCCTCCCCCAAGCCTCGCCACAAAGACCGGTCCTGCGCTGCCTGCATCCAGCATAGGCCTCCCACAAGGTGGGCCGACGACCTATTAAGGTTCGCGGGGATCCGCTGGATGCAGGCAGCGCAGGACCGATTGCTAATTAGGAACTACGTAATCTGCTATGTTTGTGTCAAGTGGAATTCATTTAAATTGGTTTATTATTAATTAACTAAATCAATATTAACTGAAAATGTGTGTACAATGAGCAATATATATTTTTTTAAACGTTCACGCCGTCTTAACTGGTCCCGTGCTAAGTTCGTAAAGAGCTTGTGTTACAAGATAACGGAAATGAATGTAAGATTTTTATTATACACATACATATATTTAATATACATCCATACTTTTTTTTTTTTTTTTTCCTACCTAAGCTGATAGCCCTAGCGGCTATGTCAGCGTAACCCTAACTTTAGTAGGTGAGCTCACGGGGCTCAAACCTGACGATGTTGCTAACACGAACCCTAGCAAGAGCCGTGCTTCGCAGAATCTACCACCGGATCGGAAACGCGACCCACTGAGAAGATCCGGCGAGAAACTCAGTGGGCTGTGTCTGAGAGTTAATTTACTCGTCGAGCCCTTCGTCGCAAGCGACGGGTTCGACGAGAACGGTGACCGGTGCTTGAAGTACCTAAAAGCACCGTTAGTGGATCGGGAGGATCCGAGATGACGTGTTTTGGGCGACGTCGACTGCTTTCCATTCTGTCCGCAGGATCGGGAATGTAGTTACCGGCGGCCACGATGAGAGGGTTCTCGTGTCGTGCCGCTTTATCGAAGTGGCGCATAGACGCCGACTGCATATACTTACTGGTGGACTCTAAGTCCAGGTCGTCATGGAGGTCGACGTTCCTGACGAACCACGGGGCTCCGACGGCTATCCTGCAAAAACGGGATTGAATGACTTGGAATGATTTTAAGTGTATGCGGGCCGCGTGAGCGAACACTACACTTGCATAGGTCATGACGGGGCGTATGCAAGTTTTGTAGAGTGTCACCTTATTTCTAAGGGACATTTTACTTCGCCTACATATCATCGGGTAGAGACGTCCTAGAATGAAGGCGGCACGGTCGCGTACCGTCTTGATGTGGGGGCGGAATGTCATCCTACTGTCGAGGGTGACGCCTAAATATTTGACCTTCGGGGCCCACGGTATGGGCTGGTCGAACATCGTGATTGGGCGAACGGCGGGGGCGGGGGTGTTGACGCGCCTAGTCGGGAGAGGGATGCTCAGCGTGGTGTTCGGAGGGCGACCCCTTTTGAAGAGCACCGCTGTGCTTTTCGTGGGGTTAATGTCGATGCGCCACTTCCGGAACCACTGTCCCATGGTGGTAGCTGCGGTCTGAAGTCGTCGATGAAGCAACGCCTTCTTCCTACACGAGTAGTAGATGGCGGTGTCATCGGCGAAGAGCGCCAGATGGGTCTCCGGAGACCGGGGTATATCGTTGATATACAAACTGAATAGTAACGGGGAGAGGGCGGAGCCTTGCGGGACTCCGGCTGTGACGTGACGGGGCCGGGAACGCGTTCCCTCGACTCGATATCGGAACGAACGGTTCGACAAGTAGTCTCGTATGATGAGCACGAGTCTGTCTGGCACTCCCATGTTATACAGTTTGTATATCAAACCGTTGTGCCAGACTTTGTCGAACGCCTTCGCTATATCGAAGAAGAGGGCTCCTGTCGGAATGGGTTTCCGCCTGTTCAGCCCTAGTAAGATGTGCTCCGTGAGGCGGTGCACTTGATGGACGCACGAGTGTCTGGCGCGGAATCCAAACTGCTCGTCTATAAGAATTTTATTCGCGGATACGAAGTCCCAGAGGCGTTTACGAAGGAGCCGTTCGTATAGTTTGCCTATCGCCGGGAGGAGACTGATGGGGCGGTAACTCGCGGTTTCGTTCTTCGGTTTGCCCGGCTTGTGTATGCCGATAACGTCCGCTTCTTTCCACGCCGCGGGAAAGATGCAGTTCGTCATAGCAGCATTTAATATGGTGGCCAACATCGTTATCAGTTGGGCTGGTAACAGTTTAAGCGCGCGGTTGCGGATGCCGTCGGAGCCGGGAGCTTTCCGTGGTTGTAGGCTATCGATCGCCTCCTTGACCTCGGAAGTGGTAATGGGGGGTAACGCGTCCGAGGGCGGCAGGGAAGCTCTGCGCTCGACCTCCCTGTCGACGAACTCGGTGTGTTCGGGGTCCGCGTGTTGAGTGCTGGTGGTGCACTGCTCTTGCAGTGCATCGGCCAGCAACTCTGCCTTGTCATCGTCATCGTAAGCCGGTGGTTGGCCTGAGGGGCGTACGAGAGGCGGCATAGTGGCTATAGTTTCGGACTTGAGGGTCCTAGCTAGTTGCCAGTATGCTTGGTGAGTGGGCGCGAGTTCTTCTAAATAACTATCCCAGTTTTCGTTTCGGGCGTCGCTTAAGCGGGATTTGACCTCCCGCTGTAAGCGACGCATCCGAGTCCGGTTTGAATCCGTGGGATATCGATCGTAGGCCCGGATTGCCGCGTTTCTAATTCTAACGAGGTCCCTAAGTTCGGGGGAAAGTCTGATGCGGTGGAAGCAGTCCTCCACATCGACTTGTTTCGAGGATCTTATGATCGCCGTCGAGACGTGATCAGTGAAGATGTTTATGGATTCGACGGTATCCTCGGGGGATGGAGTTGAATCCGGGCCGCAAGGGAGGATTGGTGGAGCGGTGTCAGCTAAGCACGTGCCCAGCTTCTTCCAATCCACCATGGTCCTCGTATCTGGTTCGCGGTTGAGTGGGCGACCGAGCTGCATGACGACAGGTCGGTGGTCTGAGTCGAGTTCTGACATTGCCTCGATGGAGCGTAAGCGCAGAGTTACGTTCCTCAGCAGTGCCAGATCTATTGTGCTCGGACGACGCGCGGCGTTGTACGGATAGCACGTGGGGGTCGGGGGGTTGAATACTTCGAATGTGAGGTCGTCTATGAACGCGTCGAGACGCCTACCGTTCACATTCGTGCGATGGCAGTTCCACCTAGTGTGGTGGCAATTTAAATCGCCTGCCAGGATGACCGCGTCCCCCATACCGAACAGTGTCTCGAGGTCACTGCTCAGGAGGGGTTTGTCAGGGGGGAGATAAACGGATGCGATGACGATCGGCTGGTGTCCCGTCAGCGCGATGCGGCACACTGACGCCTCGATATGTAAGAGCGAGGGAGTATCGAGAGGGACGCAGTGCAGGGCCCTCCTATAGTAAATGACAGTCCCGCCCTTGCGGGTGGAGAGTCTGTCATTCCTAACCATGACGTAATTCGCGACTTTGGGGTCGCGACGCGAGGGCTTTAGGAAGGTCTCCTGCACCAGAAGGATGTCGATGAGATTATCGCGGAGAAACTCATATACTTGATCGCGCTGACGCGCGAGTCCGTTAGCATTATAAAATGCTAACTTTAAGGAGCGCGGTTTTTTCCTACCGTTGCACGCCATCGATTACCGGTGATTAAACTAGCGTGCGCTGGACGGACTCGATGACGTCTATATATTCAAACGTCGCGTATAGGCGGTCTTCGGCCGTGACCGCTCTGCGCATGGCGTCGGCGAATGAACGCATGCGGTCGATGTTTATCGCGGCGATGTAGTCGCGAATAATCGAAAAGTGGTTTGAGTGCGCGGGGCCGGGGCGAGGCGCGGGACCGGGCGCGGGGGCGGGGCGCGGCGCGAGCAGGAGCTGGGGTGCCGGTGGTTTCCCTGCCAGCGTGAGCGGCAGCGGTTTTGCCCACGCGGAGACGGTGGGCACCGGTGCCGGCACGAAGGCAGGTTTCGGCGCGCGGGGCGCCGAAGTCTTTGGGCCGACAGTTTTTGGAGGCGCGTTGGCCAGACGCTTTCGCGGGGCCTTGGGGCATCCGCGGTAGTTGGCTGTACATCCATAACCCTTGAAAAGACATTTTATATTTATCATACAAATATCTTCCCTTGGTGGGATTCGAACCCGCCGCCCCCTAGTGTAGTGACCATGTCACTTACCACTACAACAGACGGCCGAAAATTACAAAAATACTTTATTTGTTTTATAGTTTAATTACTTCGGTGAAAATTGGCTTGGCGTCGTTTCACAAACTCAACAATGCAGAAATGATAATCATCATCATTATCAGCCCATAGTCGTCCACTAGTGGTCACAGGTAAGAAATGGCTGAAGAGAGTTGAAGATCGGGCTCAGTGGTGTGGATTGGGAGAGGCGAAGACTAAGATCCATGATGATGATTGATACTTGTAATGAGCCATAATTGAGAACCCTCACGCATATATAACAAATACGACTCTGCTTTTTTCTGCTTTGAAAAGCACTATTCTACTCTTGCGTGGAGTACTGCTCTCATCTCTGGACCGAGGTTCCCAAATTTCGACCACTTTTATTTTTTATTTCAATTCTGTACATCTCTCGAGTTATAAGAGAAGAATAATTTATATTCTCTGAGAAATCCGTTTCGAAGGACCAGTTTCTCATTTTAGTCTCGGAAATGAGTGATTTGTTGATGTTTGTCACAAATTATCAAATGTATTTGTAACAAATTATTCAATACATTACGTTACGGAGCTCATAATATGTCTATGAGCGTCAAAGCCACCGTCCATCTTCAGACATGAGCTGTTAGCCTCAAACGTATTATACAAAGGCCATTCCACACTTCGAAAAAGAACTTATCACACTGCCTTACACAAGAGATAAGCGACCCGTGCGGACTCACAATTATCACAGGAATATTCATATGTGCACGTGCATCATACAACCTACAAGATCTACGGACAAAAGAGTTAGAAGCATATTTATTCTCTAAAGCTGACATCTTTTACTTGGCACTTGTAGCATATAGAAAAGCTAATTTAAAACTTTTATAAGGTGATTTAGCCCGATAAGTAGTATAGTTGATGTATAAAATACTATGTGCGTATTGTGTTGCTTTTGTTTTTTTATAATTTAAATTTCTAAATTTATCTTCTTGTTCATTCTCTACTTATATGTGATTTTGATTGTGGAAACATTTTTGGTTATTGTTTTAGCTATATTTTTTTTAAATATTATATGTTTGTATTGTACTGTTTGTTTCCCAAATAAATAAATAAATAAATGTGCATGTTTGATTTTTATCACACCGTGTTATTCCTTCATAATAGAAGTCACCGTTTCTATAAGTTAAGTAGGTTTCATAAAAACCATGCCAGCAGGATTTGAATACCAGCATAGTTGAATCGCTCCATAGGATTTCACGAAGCGTCTTATTCTTTAGGCCACGGCTACAAACTCTGGTCGCTCTCAATACTCCTAACCAAGCACATACTGAGTATTTATATGCCAACTCACGACTCACGTGCTGTTAATTGGATACCAACATGATTGCTGTGGACTCCCTTCGAAGAAAATATTGTAGTCAGTAGATTACATAGTAATAGTGGCTTTAATCTAGCGGAACGCGCGATTGCTTCACGGCAGAAATAAGCAGAATGGTGGTATACATAATTATAGGGGATTCCATTATCAAATAAATAAATAAAACTTAAAAAATACATATCCATTCCATTTAACCCTCGTGTAGTTTTAAATCTACGATATGACGTCACCGGATTATGGGTGCGCGATACTATCCTCTAGAAAATTCTAAATTGAAATTGAATTTTATTCCACAATTTCCCATACGATTTTCCGCTTTGAAAAAAAAAACAGAAAAAGCCAGACGACCTTCTAAAATACTAACATGAAAATTAGTTATCATTCAACAGTTAATTTTTTTATCAGCTGAATCCGTCGATGAATAAGTGACCTTCACCAGTTGGAATCTAGAATCATTTTCGTTTACAAACAATATTGATGATTCCCCGACCCACTGGTGTAATCACCGCGGGATATGACATGGAATGTAGTATCTATATATTAATACGTGAAGCAAAAATTTAGTATCCCTTTTTAAGAAAATTGCGCGGACGGAGGAGTATGAAATTTTCCACAATTATAGAGAATATAGAGAAGAAGTGCACAATGCTAATTTTTTTTTTTAATAATGCATAAAAGATACATTAAATCGACAAAGAAAACATTACACACACTACATACCATGTATTTGACGCACACACGCATGAATACTATTTATTGTCAAACTTTTGTTCTTGACGTATGTTGTCAAATTGAGAATAGATTAAATATTGTCTGTCTTTGTTAAGATTTTTTATAGTGTAGTCTTAGCGAAATTTGTGATTATAGAAGTATAAAATACAATCATAATAGTGTACAAACTTACAATTCCAATTTATTATAGTCGAATTTCGACTACTGCGGGACCTCTAGTTTTATTAAAATCACACCCTTCGGGCAATGCTTTGTTCACTTCTACCGCGATATAATCACTGGTTAAGGGGCTTAAAACGCTTCCCCCGAAGGGTTGCGCTTCGTCATTTAACTTCTGACCTCATACCTCAAGCTGATCGGTGGAATTCATGTTGTTAAATCTATGGGCCTCAGTAACAATTTAATACTAGATGGATCAAGGCCTCGATGAGACCATGGGCAATACAAAAAAAAAATATGCCCTGGGCTTCACGTATGAGTCCGGGTCGCAGTTTTTATATTGACAATTCGGAATCTTGGCGTACCTGTTGTTATTTCCGATGTGTTTCTGGTACAAATAACACTGGAGAAAGCTTCAGAGTGGGTTCGTAAAGTTAAAGGTTTGTTTGTCTTGTACTTAGTGCTGTCCTTATTTGTTTTTTTCTTTTCTTTTATTAATAAACACTATTACTACACTAAAATCTTATCTGAATTGTCACTCACGGAAATAGCTTTAATATATCGGTAGGTAGTCGATTGTGAGTCCACACGAGTAGGTACCACCACCCTGCCTATTTCTGCCGTGAAGCAGTAATGCGTTTCGGTTTAAAGGGTGGGGCAGCCGTTGTAACTATACTGAGACCTTAGAACTCACATCTCAAGTTGAGTGGCGGCATTTACGTTGTAGATGTCTATGGGCTCCGGTAACTACTTAACACCGGGTGGGCTGTGAGCTCGTCCACACATCTATGCAATAAAAAAAAAACTTACACTAGTTACACACATGGTAGGCAGCGGCTTGGCTCTGCCCCTGGCATTACTGAAGTCCGTGGCGACGGTAACCACTCAACATCTGGTGGGCCGTATGCTCGTCTGCCTACACGGGCAATAAATAAATAAAAAGTTAAAATATTTAAAACAACTTTTAAGGTTTTAGATTCGCAATTATTATTTGCAAGGTTTCGAATGTTTTTACAGTTTCTGTGGTCGCGGTCACTCGGACTAAACCGTAAAAATAGTTTTATTTTTGATTACGACTCGCCAAAACCAAAAAACAAAAAAAACGAGCGAAAATGTAATTAGAATGACCACTATTTAATTCCAGCTTAGAACTCATTACGTCGACACTTCAAAAAGTCATATTCCAACGTATTTACAACTGTATCAAAGCGCGCTGGGCTTATTTTTAATTTATTATAAAGCTTTTGGCGTTCGTGAACACAGACGGAGCTTTCAAAAGGCTTCTGTACAAAACTTCAAAGTTCGTAGACCGCCCACGGTAACAACGAAACATGTTGGAAATGAATGTAATATGCTGTAATATAATGCTATCATATATTTTGTAAGTTTGATCTGAGTGTGTGTGGGTAACTCAGTCAAATGTATTTACAAACTGAAATGGCCTGAATGTGGGTAAATTATTAAATACAGAAACCCATTTCATTACTTTGTTATTACTACCTACTCTTACAACGTAAGTTGGGACCGGCGGAGCACTGGATCAGTACGTATCTAAAGCTTAATGGCGGCACTCGTATTTTGATGTCCATGGGCTCCGATGACCTTTCTCAGTATATTTAATAGAAGCCCATATAGCTTCTTTTTTTCAGCTTTTGTTCTTTTTTTCTGTTCTTTTCCGGAAATTACAAATTATACTTCAAAATACCACAAAGTGAGTTGAACATAAAAATAAAAAATACAAAAAACATCCAACTGCAAAAGGACCCTCACGGTTTCCTCTTAAATTTCAAAGGAAAAATTACCTTATACAGCTTTCTTTAAGAATAAAGATACATTAGCAAATTCTACAAATGAAAAAAAAATTTTTTTCCCTAAAGCCGTGTAAGTACCGTATTAACTCGAACCCGGCACGGTTTAAAAGGGAAAAATTAAATTGGCCTCTTCAGAAATTAATAGGAAAATATCTTATTGAGGTTATTGAGCAGGGAATAATATGTGAAATACATTAATTTATTTAATTTTATGTAATTACTAATAATCCGCGTGTACTCATAGCATACGGGTTAATGGTGTTAAATGTTCATTTGGCTCAAAAAAATAATGACATCGTCATTGATATTTAGAATAATCGCAGTTTTCAATCGTGGCCTACAGGATAAGACGTCTGGTGCATTCGTATGTAGCGATGCACCGGTGTTCGGATCCCGCAGGCGGGTACCAATTTTTGTAATGAAATACGTACTTATCAAATGTTCACGATTTACTTCTACGGTGAAGGAATAGCAGCGTGTAGTAAAAATCAAACCCGCAAAATTATAATTTGCGTAATTACTGGTGGTAGGATCACTTGTGAGTCCGCACGGGTAGGCACCACCCACCTGCCTACTTCTGCCGTGAAGCAGCAACGCGTTTCGGTTTGAAGGGTAGGGCAGCCGTTGTAACTGTACTGAGACCTTAGAACTCATGTCTCAAGGTAGATGGCGGCTTTTACGTTGTAGATGTCTATGGGCTCCGGTAACCACTGAACACCAGGTGGGCTGTGAGCTCGTCCACCCAACTATGCAATAAAAAAACAACATTCTCGCTACACCCTGTCTCTATGTAACTGTATTATAATTAAAATCTAGGACAAAACTGTGATTTCTTCTTCTCAGTCGTGTCACTCTTGACAGAGTGGTCGTGATCATCATGTAGTGTTGGAAGGGGCAGACTTGATGCGTCTCACGATGTCGGGCCATCTCTATCTGCTCGAGGCCATTCTACTGCACTCATTTAGGGGACCTACCACTGCAGTTTTAATTTGGTCGGTCCAAATTATAAATAAAACTGTGATATTCCGATATTAAATATTAACACACCAAACTATTTCGTACGAATATCCGTTGCTTGGAACATTCCAGTGTAATTCATTAAGCGACTGCAATGCGTATTTTCTGGTTTCGACGTTTTAGGCTAGTGAAAGCACGGGCTTTTGTAACAATTGTCCATAGACAACACCACGTGACGAGGCAAGAACGCGGTACCGGCACGTGCAAAACTTACCCAATTAATTAACTACGATTTCCGCAAATTCGTAAACTTTGTAGCTTGTATTTGTTCTTAAATTATAAATAGCAATTTAATTTGTATAGATAATGATGGCGGCTTTGATAAGCGGATAAGTGCCGCAGTCACGCTTGTTTCTGCCGCGAAGTGACGCGGTGCGAAAAGTGATACAGCAGTAGTACAATGCAATTGAAACTTCGATCACAAGCACGTTTATTGCGTAGATGGGTGGACGAGCTCACAGCCCACCTGGTGTTCAGTGATTCCTGGAGCCCATAGACATAGACAACGTAAAATGCGCCACCCACCTTCAGATATAAGTTCCAAGGTCTCAAGTATAGTTACAACGGCTGCCCCATCCTTCAAACCGAAACGCATTACTGCTCCTAACGGCAGAAATAGGCAGGGCGGTGGTACCTACCCGTGCGGACACACAAGAGGAGGTCCTACCATCAGTAACGTCTATAACAAAACAGTAGCTACGCAGCGTCCTTAAAATCATAATCCCCCATTTACGCAGTCGGGTAATAAAATAAATAGGACAATTACAATAAAAGAATCCTTACAACCGTTTCTCAGTTACGGAGTATTCCGAAAGGATGGCTTTACAATTTAATACCAGATTAACTCGACTTTTAAAGGCTACAGTCATTTTACTTGCTTAATTATACGAATAATGTTGAACGGTTAAATTTTAATTAGTTAAATCTTTGGAACTTTATTCGTTTTTTATTTATTTATTGCTTAGATGGGTGGACGAGCTCACAGCCCACCTGGTGTGAAGTGGTTACTGGAGCCCATGGACATCTACAACGTAAATGCGCCACCCACCTTGAGATATTATAAGTTCTAAGATCTCAGTATAGTTATTCATGAGTTAGGTTGTATAGATTAGGTTGTTTCTATTAAATTTCGTACTACCTTCGTGTGTCATAGCCTCTGTGGTCTAGTGGTTAGTTACTACGTATTCTGTAAGTGAAATCCGGGGTTTGATTCTCATAGTATAGAGTTATTATTTTTGTTATTTTACCACGGGTCGTACATATGTTTGTCTAGTCCTTTCTGATTTTATTATTTTTTCTTTTTATTGAATTACTAGCAGACTTCGTAGTGCCTCAATCGATAAATAAAAGACACATCAAAGAAAAAACAAATTTGTTTGTTTTTATATAATTCCGAGCATTTGTTTTTATATTTTCTCACCTTTTAAACCTTCCCTGGACTTCCACGAATAACTCAAGACCAAAATTAGTCAAATCGGTCCAGCCGTTCTCGAGTTTTAGCGAGACTAACGAACAGCAATTCATTTTTATATATATAGATAAGTAGATAGATTTTATCGGTTCAGTTAACTTGAATAGAAAACACATTGTTACAATAAAATCATTTATGTTTTTTATTTAATGAGTTCAAAGTTCACGTATCAACATTTCGAAGTATAAGTGCGTACCTACAATGTACTCACGAATGAATTTATTTATTTAAGGATTACCGACAGGGTTTACAGTAAGACATAAAATAACATTGACATGTATAGAGCAATTGATAACTGCAACTCTAATTAGAGGCAATCACAGCATGCATTACATTAATATATCAATAGAGATTTAACAATAATATTAATAATAATAAAAAAATAAAAACAAAAGAAAGACAACAAGGACAGTAATACCCGAGTACTCAGGCTAAGGCTGAGGCTGAGGTTCAACAACAACTTTTTATAATTTTGTTCCTGAATATTGGAAGGGAATCGCCAAATATGTCAAGGTTTTCAGCTTTTCTTACTAAATTATTATAAAGGTTAGTTACACGAGAAGCAGGTGAGTGCTTGCCTAAATTGGTTCTGCTAAAGTATCGTTAAGGTTCACGATTAAGGAATGGTTTACGGATCCAAAAACAGCCTTACGACAAACGGACAAATGAATTCAGTATATTAGATGACCTAAAGGATATAATTAACCTACAAGTTACCTACCTATAAACTTTCGAACGGTGAACGTTTTATCCAATGACAAATGTTTCCAAACTTTATTCAAAATATTAATTGTGATAAATTTAGATTACTTCAGTTAACTCACGCACTGTATTCAAGTGTAACAATCCAATTTCTTTTTTCATTGCTTAGATGGGTGGACGAGCTCACAGCCCACCTGGTCTTAAGTGGTT